CTCAGTGTATGTTCAGTTTGTGGGCTTCTTGCACAATAGGCACTGCTCTTGAAGTCTCTGCTGTGGTCTGTGGTCAGTACCTCATGCATCAGTACTCAAGGGAAAATACTCCTGAAGGAAGATATCACTGAGGCAGCCCCTTTCCTATACCATCTTTTGTCTTCTGGGTGGAAGAGAGATTGGCTGACTTGCTGCCAGAGTAACAAGGCAGGGGACAGTCCATTGAGTAGACCCGGGAGAAGGCCTTGGCTGCTAGGCCCCAGGAGAGAAATGGGAAACCAATTCAGGTGTCAAACCCAGTGAATGACCCTCTTGGGATCTGAGAGTGGTCAGGGGGAGCAGGTTGAGCTGGGAGTATGGACCAGGTGAGAGCTGCATGGAAACTATGAGGATGTGCATGGGGGATGACTTAGTCAGGGGTTCCGATCGCTGTGAAGAGACACCTCGACCACGGCAACTCTTGTGAGGGAAAACATTGAATTGAGGTGGCAGCTTACAATTTCCGAGGTTCAGTTCATTATCATCATGATGGGGAGCATGGGAGCAATGCAGGCAGACATGGTATTGGCTACTTCTTGATAGGCAAGCAACAGAAAGTGAACTGTGGCACTGGGCATTGCTTGAGCAAGAGACCTCAAGGCCCATCCCCACAAAGACATACTTCCTCCAACAAGGCCACACCTCCTAAAAGTGCTACTCCCCTTTGGGGGCCATTTTCTTTCAAACCACCACTGCAGGAGGGGCCAGAGGGTATGTAAGAGATGCAAGTGGACCAGTGACCTCCCCAGTGTTGGTAGAAAAATCTTGGCAAACTCACCTTTAGCAACTTCAGTACTTAGCAACCACAGTTGGCTCACAAGTCTATAACTACTTCTGACTTAGGGCCTGTGAGAGACTGTTTTTGTGGGGTAATTTAACTCATCCAAATTCCATCAAAAGGGGGTTTTGTGGACGAGCACAATGGAAGAGCAGAGTTCATAGCTACTGTGCCCACCAAGCTTGTGCTGTCTCTGGGTCTAATGGTTTCTTGTCTGTCTCTCTCTGCCTGGGCATGGGTCTCTGCATGTCAGATTCATCCCTAATGCTCCTAACTTATCTTATGTGTCATTTGCTTATTTCAGGTTCTGCTACTTTTCCCTAGCAGGGTTTATCCCCAGTCTTTGAAACAATATCTGGTCAGCCTACTTTCTTTCTTTAATTGTCCTTCAAGTACTTCCCTTCATCTCCCAGGGCAGTTCCAGAGTGTGACCGACTATCAATACTGGAAGCCTACTAGCTAGCTATTTACTAAAGGAGGAGGGGAAAAACCCCCAAGGGACCCACAATCCCCTCAGGGGCCTGCCAGAGTGCAGGGTATGCAGGGATAGTCAACTAGGAAAGGCCAGGAATTGGCTCCTCCTTGCCTGGGGCATCAGGGTCTCAGAAATCCAGCCATTTGTTTGGATGGATCACCTGGTGAAATACTATCTGTCTTTCACTAAATAAAAGTGGCTTTGAAGAAAGAAGGCAAGTGAGCTGACTACAGAGAGAGTATGTGTGTGGGGTGTGGGATATGGGATGGGTGCTTTCCCAAGGCTCTCCTATTCTGGGGAAGGCCTCTTCCTGCAGGCCCGCTGCTGATCTCTGGCTGCCTGCCTTCACCACAGTGCCTCTGGCTGGCTTCTGGTGTTTTGTTGACATTAATTACACACGAAGCAAGGTGCCCAAGGCCTCCAGCAACTCTTTTGTGTTTTTTTTTTTTTTTTTGGTACCACCTGTTGCCTTTGCTGTTCACTGGGCTCTGCCCAGAATTTTTATGAGACACTGATATTTCCAGCTCTGCAAATGGCAAGGTTGGCTTCAGTTTTCTGTTAGTTTCCATTCACTTCTGTCCTCTCTGGGCATGGCCCTTGCTTTTCTTTGTCTCTAAGCCTTTTTTCTTTTTAAAAACCTGGACACTTTGTGATTTGAATACTCCCTTCCCTGCTCTTTATGGTTTCCTCACTTCTCCTTGCCTATTCTTATTCAGGCACCTCTTCCTGGAGCTGGCATCAAGGAGCTTGTTGTGAACACAAGAAAGGATAATCCAGACTCCTGGTACGACATACTCATTTCCACCAGTGTGGGTGTGGTGTGGAGGAGAGGGCATCATGGAGAGATAGATGCTACTCCTTTCTGGCACCCTGGCCAGAATGTCCCTACTATGCAAACACCTGAGCAATTTGGGAATGCTTTGACCCAGCAATTTGACCTCCCAGACTGTGGCTTAAGGAATTAATTATGGGTTTTGCCAGCACACACACACACTCTCTCTCTCTCTCTCCCTCCCTCCCTCCCCCCCCTCTTTCTCTCTTTCTCTCTCTCTCTCATTCATGTACACACATGCACACATACATATTTGCAAAAAACAACCCACACTAAAATTAAACAGACCCAAAATCTGAACATCTCAATGAACTTCTGTACAGTTAGAATATCTCAAGTTGTGGAGCTTCACATTAGACTTTAAGTTTTCAGTATCAAATATATTTTATGCACATATTATCCTAGAAGAAAATTAATAATGCATACCTGATTTGAAGCTCCTCCTCTTTCATGGCTGTGGTCCTTGCCCATGTTCGTCCTTTCTTCTTAACTATTATTCTTCTTATCCTGTCTGCATGCTCTACTGTGCTCACAAGAACATTTGTTTACATAAAAGCATATATTGTTGGCTAGGTTCCACATTTGAAGGATAATATGTGGGCTTCCTTCCTTCCTTCCTTCCTTCCTTCCTTCCTTCCTTCCTTCCTTCCTACCTTTCTTTCTGGTATTATGTGATCTTTAATGTTATTCATTCTAAGCATTCCAAGTTCTTCCTTTTCTTTTTCTGAAAATTTTGTGATTACACACACACGCGCGCACACACACACACACACACACACACACACACACACACACACACACACACACAAACCCAAATTTTCAATATTCATTCATCTGTTGATAGGCAAATAAGTTGGTTCCAATTGTTTGCTAGAGTGAATAAAACAGCAATAAGCATGATGTTCAAATATCTCTATGGAAAGGGAGGGAGTTCTCTGGGTATTTGCCCAGGAGTGAAATAGCTGGGTCATGTGGTAGTTCTGTTTCTATTTATTATTTTATTTTTTGAGAAATATTCAAACTGATTTCCATAATGGCTGCATTAATTTGCACTCCCACTAGTGGTGGGTAAGGATTCCTTTCTCTCCATGTCCTCTCCAACATTTGTTGTCAGATCTGTTGATGACAGCCATTCCAACTGGGATGAGATGATATCTCAAAGAAAGTTTAATTTCTATTTATTTCCCAGATGGCTGGGGGTAGTGAAGACTCCTAAAAATTCTTTCTTTTCTTTTGAAAGTGTCTATTGAATTTGCCCATTTGTTAATTGGCGATCTTGGATTTTGGTTTATGCAGTTCTTTGTAATTCAGGATGCCACACCCTTGCCTGCAGTGTAACTGGCAAAGATGTTCTTCCATTCTGTGGGCTGTGTGTATGCAATGATTGCTTCTTTTGCTTTGTTGTCCCATCTGTTAATAGTTGGGGTTAGCACATATGCTATTGGCCTTCTATTTAAAATGTTCTTGCCTACCCCATATACACTTCAGGTTTTAATGAAGACCTTTGATCCATTTTGTAGTGATTTTCTATCACGTGGATCTAATTTCATCTTCTGCAGGTGGAAATCCAGCTTCACCCGCACAGTTTGTTGAACAGGTTCTCTCTGCCACCCCTCCCCCACTCCGCCCCACCATCCCCAGTGTGTTTTACCTCCGATGACAAAACTTAGGTGATTGTAGCTTGGCATTTATTTCTACATCCTCTGTTCTATTCCATTGGTCTTCCTGTAGATTTTGGTGTCACTACCAGCCTGTTTTTAGCATTATCGTGCTGTAATATATAATTAGAAGCCGGGTATTGTGATTAATTCCAACTGTGCTCTTATTCTTTAGGATTGCTTTGGCTATTCAAGGTCTTTTGTGGTTACAAATGAATTCTGGAATTGTTTTCCCTAAACTTGGGAAATTTGACAGTAGACTTTTGATAGGTATTACATTAGATCTGTTTTTTTGTTGTAGAGGTCTTTTGTGTCTTTGTTTTGATATATTTCTAAATACTTATTTTTGGGGGGATACAGTTTCAAATACTTTTGTAATTAGCACAAAAAGAATTCCTGGGGACTTAAATGCCAAGCCTTTGAAGGTAGAATTTATAGTCCCACTATGTAGGGCACTGTCTGTGGGTCATAGGGTACCCAGGGACACACACATATTGTATAGCCCTTAAATGACACCGCAGAGCACAGCGAGAACTCCTATTAAGCCACACCCAACCCTTTCCCATCTTTATAAAAAAATCTGGCTAATAAGAAAGGCAAAACAAGAATTGGAAAGGACATGCCTATCATGGGTAGTTTTCTTGGGTAGAGCAAGAGGGAGTAACTTTTTATTTTCATTTAAATTTTATTTTTTTAAATGTATAAATGGAACTTAAATTTTTTTGGCACATGATAAAATGCAGTTAATTCATTCTATCTGATTAAAAATTCAGACCCAGTTAGAAGTGCTTTCAGAATGAATGAGAAGTTTCACATTTGCAAGAGCAGAAACCACATGCTCTGGGTCAGGAGACTGGGCAGGTTTGATGCAATGAACAAAGCCACAGGCTTTGTCTGAACACTGGAATTGAACTGGGTGGGAAGATGTCTTACTTTGCCTTGTTGCTACTAATACTGCATAGGGTCAGGATTTGATGGCTCTAGCAACCTTTGCTTTCCTTAATTTGTTGCTCAGACTGGGCAAAAACGTGTGGACATGGGTGAGCAGATGTCCAGCATAGGTCATTTGGGAGAGGCTGGCTTCTTCTGGGAAAAGGGGCTCTGAAGGGAAAGCTCCTGGGACAGAGAGGAGGTGGAGGGGGTGGGAGGGGAAGGGTGCTCACTCACAGGCTTGTATTCAAGCCTGTGCTTAGCATGTATTCTTACTTTTCCGTGCAGGCAGAGGTAGAGCCAACTGTGCCAAACTTAGCAGCCAGCCGTCCAGAGAGAAGCAATCAGTGCTGCAGAAGTCCACTGAAATGAACTGGCCCCCTTGAGCCTCTCTCAATACCTGCTACCCACTTTCCATCCTGATGCTGAGGTAAGAACCCTTAAATCCTGCTTGGAGGAGTGGACAGAATGCTTCTTTGGGGGAAAGAAAGACCAGGGCAGTTCTCTAAGGCTCAGGGAAGAAGGAACAGTTGTTTTTAGTTACAACCATCTGTCTCCATTTCAGTTCACAAGGAAGAGGCAAAGTTACTGGAGGCCAAAGTCTTTGTAAGTGCAGAACTTCCAGAATCTTCTATCTTCTCCATTGCTAAGGAAATCTGAACCCTAAAGAGAATGAACTACACCAGATTCAGATGGATGTTTCTATGCTTTGGTTGGTATAGGAAAGCAAGCTCCCAGGAAACGTATGCATGGGAAAGCAAGCTCATGTGCATGCACGTGTGCACACACACCAACCCAACACACACACACACATACACACAGATGAGAGAAATTATGAGGGAGGTATGGCAAAGCATTACAGTAGGCTTGCCAAAAGCAATTTAAATAAATGTAGATATGTTTTGATTATGAAGATAACAAGTACTCCTAGAACATTTGGAAGAAAATAAGCAGGGTCTATTAGAGTTCCCTTCCATGGGATACTGGTGCCTTCTGCCTGGAGGTGGAGGGATGACCCCATGAGGGGCCAGGAGAGCTTTTGTCCAGTCTAGAATCTCTAGCATCCAAGAATTTTACAAACCAGTTGTTAAAAAGTGGTGACACACACCTTTAATCCTAGTACTTGGGAGGCAGAGGCAGCGGATCTTTTGAGTTCGAACCCAGCAGTGTGAGTTTCAGAACAGCCAGGGCTACCCAGAGAGATCTTGTCTAGAAAAATGAAACAAAACAAAAAGCACTAACTCCATCCCCACAAAAGAACCCCAGAAAAAAACAAAAGACAAAGTAATACAAAATAGTTGGCAGCTTAAAACTGACCAATGTGGGAAAGTTGACATATTGCCATGCAAACTGGCAAAGCTGCAAAGCCAGGCTTTCTAGGACTTTTTGTCTTGTGGAGGGGCTTGGGATCAAACCTAGGGCCTTGAGCATGTAAGGCAAATGCTGGACCACTAACTCAGAGTCTCTTCTCCTATGAATAGTAGGTGTGAGATTAGAGAGTGGTCTGTGGTCTGTTTGCAGTGTCTCATGGGTAGCCATGATGAAGCTCCTGTTACATAATTACAATGAGAATGTTTGATAGGGTGAGGCTCCTTGACTGCTACAGGGAGAGGGTTAGGCCACCAGGAAGCCTTTGGTCTACTGATGGAGAAAAATTGGCTGCATTTCTCTCTCTCTCACTGATGGACATCTTGGGGGGGTTGAATTATTGATACCCTTTCATAAAGGCAATGAAAACCCTCCATTTATGGATCAACATCTGGGGTGCATTTTCTTCCTGGAAAAGTTGAGGGGCTGGCCAGGGAAGTGTGGAAAGGAAGGCTTAGAAACATCAGATGTGAAAGCCAGGACCCAGTTAGAGCTTTTGACCCCTCATCTCTGAGGGAGGGTGAGGGTGACTTCCTGCCAAACCTGAGGCTTCAACAAAAGCCTCTTTCTTCAAGGCCCACCATCAGCAGATTAGAACTAATAAATTAGCATAATGGAGTCCTGGCCTCTGCCCTTCTTTCCAGTCTTCTGGCTCCTTCTTTGTGCTTCTTGCCTGTGCCCTCTGGGAGGGTTAGGGACAGTGTGAGACATTGGTGACATTCCAGTTTCCCTTTGTGGTTCAGAGAATGAGAAAGTTGGGAAGGGTCATAACAGCCATCCAGGCCCTCACCTTCATCCTAAGAATCCAGGCCACTTAGCAGCTGCTGCTGGTGGAGCTATGGGATCCTGGGGAGGAAGACTCTAGGCTGTGACCAGGCCTGGTCCCTGAGGCTGCCTGCTCTTGTTATATGCAACCAGAAAGGGAACATGACTGTTGATTCCAGCTGCCAGCCCTGCCTCTGCCCTTCCCAGGCCTGCCCCTGCACAGCAGCCAAAGCCCATGCCCTACAGAAGTCAGCCTATATTTTGTTGTGAGCCTAACCTTTAACAGCTGAGCCATCTTTGCAGAAGTCAGCATAGGATAGTTTTCTTGGACATAAGCCTCCTTCCTCATCAGGGCCTTGGTTTTCCTTCTCAATGATGATGCAGAAGGTCTTACTCTAAGGATCATGAGGAATCTTTGTGAGGTAAGAAAGGGCAGGCCATGGATAGAGCTCCTATGCTCTGTGCTTTGTCTGTGTGCCCTCTTAACTCTGCACCCTATGACAGTGTGTCTGACCCATGAAGCTTGGATACAGTGAAGCTCCTATAAGAGCCGCCAAGTGCCCTTCACAGCAAGTGGTCATCCAGGCAGGCGTTCCCAACCCAGCTTCTACAAGCATCTCCTTCCCTAGGGGAGTATCGCTTCCCCTCTGAATTGCCCTGAACAGTTGCAGTGGAGTTTGCAAATCTCTGAACTGATCTTGGAAATCCCTTGCAGTGTGAGAGAACATCAGATCAGGAAGCCTGTGTTTCCTGCCCTTCCCTCCTGGTGCCCCAGGAGGTGAGCCTGCTGGAAGTGTCCCAGCCCTCCCAGCTGGCTAGAAACAGGGTTTCTGTCCCCTGAGTTCTCAGATTTCTTTACAAGTACTATGTATATGCTTTATTTTACTCTATGGTTGGGGGTAGAGTTCACATGTGAGAGAAAACATAAGGCATTTGTCTTTCTGAATCTGGCTTATTTCGTTCACCACAATGTTTTGTTGATTTTTCGGCAACTTTTGTGATTTCAATTTTCTTTATGGCTGTGTAGACTCGCCATTTATCTCTTCCTCAGTTGAAGGGCATCTACCTGGTATTGTGAATAGTGCTGCCATAAACATAGAAACTGAAAGGTATCTACACCTGATATGCCTCTCCACCAGCACAGTGGTCCAAATCAGACCACATCAAACCGAATTAGAAAAAGCTCAAGCTTAATGGATAGAACATTCCCGGATGATTTTCCAGCCCCCACAGAGAGGAGACAGAAAAGAGAGACCAGAAAACCAAGGGGCTGTTTTTCTGGGGGAACTACCCTGTGGAAGTAGTTTTGAGCATCTCTGGGGAAGGGGTCATCATTTGGCTGGCTTTCTGAGATGCAACAGGGTTTGGAGAGAGGAGGGGGAGGTGTGCTTGGGGTGATGCCTCCACCAGAATAGTCCAGACTCTTTGGGTATATGGATGCTTCCTGAGGACATGAGTGACATCGGGGGAGGGGGTGTGGGGGGGGGAGTTGAGAGTCTGCTCATGCTTACCAGGAGGTGTGGGTGGAGAAACATCTGGTTAACTGTCATATTGGGAACTTCAGGCATTTGTTTCTTGAGGAAGAAGAAAAGGCAAGTTGCTAGGGACAAAAAAATAGATTATTAACACCTGCCCTAGTTGTACTGACAAAGATGAATGTGCCAGGAAGAAGAGCAGATAGGCCCTTCATTGTGACATCTTGGAAAACTGGAGGGTGGAGGGTCCCAGCTGCTGCACAGACCAAGTATCCCGAATAGGTACCCACTTGAGCCTGGGCAGGTGGTACCAGCATGGATGCCCTAGGAGCTTGGCAGCCAAAAGGGTGGTGAGGATCACGGTGCAGGGTCCTGTTCATTGGGGCTCCAGAGACTTAGGAGCTAGCTGTTGGAGGAGTACTCTGTCCGCCGGAGAGAGTGGGGCAGGCTCAGGGGCAGTTGGGTTCATTGGTGTGGAGGCAGGGAGATAGCTGTCAGCGTGTGAACTGAGACGGGACCTCAAAGGGAGAGACAGGGAAGGTACCCAGTCAATGGAGGAGTCTGGGCTGGGAGGTGGTGATTGAGGAGGAAGGGCCTTCCATAAAGTAGCTCAAAAGGGCCTTGGCCTGTAGGAGAATGTGGGGTGGCCCGGAAGATGGTTTTAAGGGTATGGGTGAAGGGAGGGCCAAGATAGCATGGGTTCAGTGGAGAGCTTATTTGCTATTGCTTGATGAGTTCGTTTGCCCTCTTTACCTTTCCTGAGGAATGTGGAGGCTAGGGTATGTGGGACTTCCAGGAAATTTTGAGAGCTTCCGACATGAGCTCCATGACCCTGAAACTGAAGGTTGACTGAGGAATGATATGGTCCAGGAGTACCTGAGCCACCACGCCTGCTGTTTCTCTGGAGGTTGGAACTGCTCCAATCTATCCTATAAAACTGTCAGCAAGAGTTAGTAGGTAATGGAGTTTTTTATGAGTGGGCATGTGAATGAAATCAACCTGGCAATCCTCTGCCAGTTGATGTCTAGGACGCTGGTGCAGAGGCTACCACATATGGAGGGCTCCCTGTGGATTGGCCTTGGCACAGGAATGAACCTGTGAAATGCGAACCTGGAGATGGTTAGGGTCAAAGAGGGGCTCTAAGAAATGGAACAAAGCTTTGGGGCTTATGGGTAAGGTCTAGTGAATGTCTGAAATGATGGATAGACAGTGCCTGGTCAAGCATCACCCCAAGCCTCCCACCCCCATCTCTTTTCAAACACTTCTGCATCTCAGAAAGCCTGCCAAATGACCCCTCCCCTAGAGATGCTCAAGATCACTCCCATAGGGTATTTAAACTGCCCCCTCCCAAACCAGAGGCATGGCTTTCCAGTCTCTCTTTTCTGTCTCTCTGTGGGGCTGGAAAATCATCTGGGATCGTTTTATTCAGTTTGATTTGGTCTGACTTAAATTGCTACATTGGTGGAGGGGCTTATTGGAGTGCAGAAACTTTTCAGATCATAAGGCATTTTTCTCTGATGTGTTGACTGAACCCTTTAGGAATATACCCAAGTATAGCTGACTCATACAGTAGGTAGTTTTATGTTAGCTTGCTGAGAAACTCCATATGAATTCAACTATGGCTATACTAGTTTATACACCCATCAGCAGTGAGCAAAATGGTTCCTTTCCCCCACATCTTGCACCAGAATTTGTTGTTATTTATTTTCTTGACTGTAGTGAGATGGAATCTCAAATTAGTTTTATTTTTGCATTTCCCTGGTGGTTAAGGACATGGGACATGTTAGAATATATGTATCAACTATTTGCATTTGTTCTTATG